GTGGCAGGCAGAATGACGCCACCTTTTTCTGCAACTCCTCTTCCAGATCATGTGATTCCAGTTTAAGCTGGTTTTATGTCTGCACAATACATATGTATATTATGGGTTGTTATGTTTAAATGAAGAGGGGGAAAAAATGCCCTTGGATCTGTAATTCTGGTCGTTGACAACACAGGCTGCTAATTTAAAAGGAAAAAGGGAGGTGTTTGGTGTGGGTATGGGGTGGGGGGGATAGCTGCTCTCAAGCTGTGCTGCATTAAGATGAATAGATATGTCTGAGCAGTTCCTGAGGATGCTGGCACAAAGACGTCCTTTATTCCGCACAAGCCTCTTGCTTTTATCGTGAGCACAGAAAGGGTCCTGTTCTGCCTTTGTGCAAGGCCGCATTTAAAGGAAGAGGTGTGTGGTTGCAAGGAGCGAACTGCAAAGATGTCTCTGTGAGGCACGCGGGCGGCCAGGCATCTGTGTAACAAAACCAGGTGGGAGGAGTGAGCCGTGTCCTGCAACTGGGCTTTACCCCACTCTGAAAAGCACTCTGTGCAAAGCTCCTCTGACAAATTCCTCCTTTTAGCTCACGAAAAGCAGCTTAAGGCCAGCCAGCTTTTGTCAGCCTTGCCGCACTGGCGCTCCCCATGTGGGTGCCTCCCCGGGAGCAGCCGCCTGCGTTTGTGCTGGCAGTGCCTTGCCCTGCCTTGCGCCTCAGCGCTGCCTCACGCATAGGCCGGCAGGCAGCAAATGGCTGGGGCCGCGCCCAGCCCGCTGCTATGCGCAACTGAGACGCGCGGCCGCACGGCTCATCCCTGCCCGAGAGACATGGACAGTCAGCAGAGCACTTGGAAGGATAAGGGTATTTGATCTTTCTTTCACCTTCCTTCCCCTCCACCACTCCCTTTCTAAGCGAGACGATGCTGCGGCTCGTTTTGTGCAAATGGTCCTCGCGGCGGGCGCTTCATTGTGTAATGTCACCCAAGATGTAGGAGCCTCTTGGGCAGTGGGGAAAAGGGTGAAAGCTGCACGTTAAATCTGAGCAATGCGGGAAAATAAATTATTTATGCAGAAAAAAATAGCTTGCAAGACAGTCTGCAGCCCCCTTTTAGCCCTACAGGGCATATTAAAGAAGGGCATGTTTTGCTGCGCAGGTACTACTGTAATTTGAATTTAGTTAATGTTGCATTGAAATGACTAAATGATTAACAATTGAATATTAATAATGAAATATGAAGATAATCTAGTGTCTGCATTTCATATTGCTCAGCAATTTTATGAGAAGAAATTGGACGAAAACACAGCAGGCTGTATGTTTTTTCTTTCTGGCCTTAAAAATGTTTTCGTCTAGCATTTTTCCTAGCTCTGTTGGATTGTAGATTTTAAAAAAAGTCTAAATATCAGGATTTGCAGGCACAATAAAAAAACTGTTTTTAGGTAAATAAGTAGCTAGCCTTTAATTAGTGTGGCTCTGACCTTTGTCCCTGCAAGCACCAATGGCAGATCGCCCTTTTAAATCTCTATGGATCATTATTAGTGCTAACTGTGTAAGAGTTTAAGCCTTGCTTGAATACATAATCTTCAAACTTTATCAACAAGACAAGCTTTTAAAAAAATTTAATCAACTTGGGGTACTTAAATTACTTCTTAAAAGGGCCCTGGTACACTTGGTATGTGCACTTCTGAAGCTTTCTTCCTTTCTATAACTTGATTCAAATGTCTGTATTTTTTTTCTTTTTGAACAAAATAGGTGGTTGTCTAGAATCCATAAAATCCTGTAAAATCTGTAAAGAACATGTATATGTAGGGAA